AACCGCCGATCGACGGTGCACGATGCATCGCGATGCGAGCGGGCGATAACGATAATTACGAGAACGCTCCCTCTCTTTCTCTCTCTCCCTCTTCCTTTAAAAAAGCGACTGTTGTCGAGGGACGTAAATATTGTTACAACGCGGCCGCGCTTCATCGAGGTGGAGTGCCTCTACACCCACCGAATCCGAGACGTGTCGCCGTGTCCTCGTGCGTGGCGCGCCGCGTCGCGAATGCAACACGAGAGCGCATCGTGCATAAGTGGCACTCCGATGCACCGGGTAAGGGCCTCCGCCTTTCCTCGCGTTTGCCGCCTGCTCGACGCGCACCTCAAGCATTCTCGAGGCGCCCGCTTCGGGTTTCCCTTACCCCATTACCCTCCCTCCCTCCCTCCCGTCGACGCGACTCGCTCGCGCGGGGGGAGCTGCGCGGAAACGCGGAGATAGAGGCCCCGTGTCCGCGATGCTAGAACTTGGTTCAAGTTCTAGTTCCGAGAAACGCCGAGTAGCCAATCAACCTGCAGCTTTTATGGAATAGCTGCGGGTTGATTGGCTACACATTTCTCGAAACTAGAACTTGGACCAAGCTCTAACATCGCGGACACGGGCCTTGACGCACCCGTACGAATTGATACGCTCCGCCATTCGACGCGCCGAGCGCCCGAGGGTACTGTTACGCGTTGATTGGCTACGAGCTGGGAAAGCTTTCTAGATGCTCGACAACTTTTCTATCCTGCAGCCAACCGACACGCTCGAACAATTTGTCGTATGACAAATGTAACATCAGCCTAAACTAGAACTTGGTCCAGATTCTAGTTTCGAGAAATGCGTAGGCAATCAACTTGCAGCTATTTCATAAAAGCGATTAGCTACACATTTCTCGGAACTTGGACCAAGTTCTAACATCATGGACACGGGCCTTGACGCACGAATTGATACGCTCCGCCATTCGACGCGCCGAGTGCCCGAGGGTACTGTTACATTTGTCGTACGACAAATTTTTCAAGCGCGTTAACTGGTTACAGGCTAGACGACTTCTAGATACTCGACAATTTTTCTGTCCATCAACACGCATGAAAACTTTGTCGTACGGCAAATGTAACACCAGCCTAAACGCTCGATCGAGGGCGAAGCTCTCGTGTAAACGGGGATCTCCCTGAAATTCGTCGGCGGGGCATTCCGGATACCGGATTGTTAATTGAAACGACACGAGTCTCAGGCCGTGGAGTATTAATATTGAAATTATCTACGCAAATCCTGTCGAATCGACGGCTCGGCGGCTACGAATTTTTGTTCAAATATATTTTCAAACCGGTAGAATGCGTGCCATTTCATAAAGTTTGCACGACGCAGAAACGATCGCGATGCAATATTTAGCCGCCGTAATTATCCTGGATTACCAATGTGCAGCTTCCAATACGAATGCAGGATTATACAAACAAGTCTGGAAAAACTAATGAAATTAACAATTTCTACTTACATTGCGTTATATTTTTAGAGCACACAGATGTGAAAAAAAAAGAGGCAAATATTTTCCGAACAGCAGAGAATTATACAAAAATCACTAACGACTCCGCGCTGCGAATCCAGGACTGTTTATATATTTGCGCAATCATTTTTGCCCCGTTACAAACGGGGACAGGGGGTGGGGATTTTTCCGAAAGAGCGCCTTGAAAGCTACTCGGGAGTCGAGACGTTCGACGGAAACGTTCGACGGCCAGTTGTTGCTCGTATCGACCGATTCGGCCATTCGGACGCGCGCGCGCGACCTGTGTTTATGTTAATGTGTGCGTGCGTGCCGGCCGTGAGCGAATCGCGTCCGTGTATTATTAAGGCGTATAGTTAGTCGGCACACGCCAGGACGGCGTATGGCGGCACCGCGTGCACCTGTTTGAACCGAAAGGATCTGGTTTGGACCACCTTGCCTTCCCGTCGCAACTTTGTCTCTCTCGCCCGGCGCCGTCCACGCCACCTCCCTCATCAGCCGTCGTAATTCTCGGTATTTTCCGCTCCCCCCGCTCCCCGCGTCTCGATAGATGATCCACGACGGGAATCATGACGCATTATGCTGATCAGGGTTCTCGTTCCCGAAATTAGGTCCCCGCAGCGGACCGGAACGTCGGCGCGACCCCGAGGGCAAGCGATTTGGCGGCGGAGCTTCGCTATTTTGATGACGAGGGCATGACGTATTCCGGGAATAAACCCCGAACTGGCCCGTCCTCGCCGATCTCCGTAAGTGTCGTCGATTAAGTACTCTCTTTGTTTTTTCTTCCTCGCGTCGGGCAAAAATGTTTCAACCTCGCGATCGATGGAAAATTCATTTGTATCCGGCGGACTAAGCAAGACGTTCCTTTTTATAGTCGCCCCAACGGACGATCGCAACGCGTATTAATTACGCCTACTGATATCCGACTTCGATAATCGATTACGTTCCGCCTCCGTCGCTGGAACCGGCAACGCGACGCGATGCATCGCGCGCGCACCGCCGTTTATTGGCGCGATACATACACGTCGAATTGTTTATGCGCCGCTATCGCGATGACGCGGAACAGAGTCCGCCGATGGTGGCGATAAGTCATCCTCGACAGATCTACGGCCCACACCTCTGCGCCTTTTTCCACGGGCGCCGCCGCGATGATGCGAGGAAAAGTCCAGCGAGTGCACAAGTTGCTATTTAAAGGCGTGTTTTCATCAGACGCGTCTCTCATTCCGAACCGGCGAAATCATCGATCGGAATGCTATCGAATCGAAACGGTAAACACCTATCGTACGTATGCGCGGGAACGAATCCTAAATTGAGCCTCAGAAGCTCAACGTCGACGGGAGAGAGCCGTATTTCGAAATGTCATGCCGCCAGTATATAATTCACTCAATTTTGACACGTTCACGATGCAGAAGCGTGACTCGCAAGAGCGAACGTTTTTATTGCGAGGCTGTCATCGATAATAGCGCTGATAACAGATGCAGCGAGTATCACCGATTTCCTTCCTTCCCCCCCCCCCATTGAAGGGATTGTCTCGAATTTTTATAACCCGCTTCATCGAACTACCTTGCGTCTACGAGACCGTCACCTGCCGTGTCAAGAAGAAACATCGTTGCGCACCGACATATGCAGTTTCAAGTTAATTAACCACCAGCTGGGAACACAAGCCGATAGCGTGGCTCGGAGTCCACCGATCGAATATCGCGAAACGCGGCGCAGCAATTACAAAACTTGGTTAATCTCAGTCCACTTGCAGTATAAGAGGCTCGTGAAACGAGCGACGAATTAACGCTCTGATTATAAGGCGATGCCTGGTGACAAAAAAAAAGAGCATTAGCGTGGAATCCAAGCGGGTCGTATTCGATTGTCTCAAGTTTCCGACAATATTTCGCTACTTCATTGAAATACCGTAAAGGCCGAATCAGACTAGCAATTGTCGACGCGGATTGGATTGGGATTGGCGATTGTCTTCTAGCCAGTGACAGCAAAGCAGCCAGCGATTTAATCGACTCTCGTTGGTTAGAAAACAATCGCCAATCCCAATCCAATCCGTATCGACAATTGCTAGTCTGACTCGGCCTTAAGGCCAA